CCCACAAGTTCAGCGTTGAACAAGATCTTTGGGTGGGTCGCACTGTAACCAAGAAGAATGGTTGAAGGAACTCGAGGACACTAGTTTAGCCACTGAAGCTGAAGGACAAACTACAACAAGTGCTAGTCGCACGAAATTGCTGGAGCACGGACGCGATTCCGAAACTTCCACAACGAGAGAGTCAAGCGCAGATGTAGATGTAGACGATGTAGACCTCGAGATTTCCTCTTTTTGGCTTCGCGTGGCATGGTTAAAAAAATGGCTGGGGAACGCAGAAGCCTAAACTTGAGTAACATAATACCAATGCCACCGACGAAATCTTCTAAGTAAAAAAAATCACGGCAGTTAAAATACAAACCCGTAAAGTTCTTAGTAGTTTGTCGTTTCTCGGACGATTACCGACTGCGACGGGTTTCAGCGCCAAAATTGTAGACGTCTGTTTATTTCAAGTTGTCATAAGCCATTGTTATGCTAAATGTCGGCATCTGTCAGTACGGAGGGGATTTTTAACACCTCATACCATTCTCATAAAAGGTTTTTCGTATTTTTCTTGGTAAAATAAAATATGGGTTTTTGTCGAGGGTCGAGGGTCGAGGGTTAAATGTCGAGAATCGAGGGTAAAAGGTCGAGGGTCAAGTGTGAAATGTCAAGGGTCCAGGTAATATTCAAAAAGGTTAATATTACTAATACGTTTAATTTTGAAAAAAAAAACAATGGTAGTCTCTATGGGTATATAGAATGGTAAAAATCCATGACCCGCCGAGACACCAAGACACTCCTTTAAAATCCGAGACCAAGACTTCACTATTATTTTCAAATCCGAGCCCGAGACGCCGCGATTCAAAAATCCGAGCACGAGACCTTTACAGCACTCTGTGCCTCGCACAAGAAATACATGTAGCAGATGTAGCTAGAAATAAGTAAGAACTGGTTGGTTTCGTATTTTTCTCATGGTGACTCATCTGAGAAGTTTGTTGGTTTCTCTTACTTTTGCGCACGAGTCGCCGGCGTTGCTTTCTTTATCTTTTCCCGATGAAGAAAGAAAGATATGTTCGAATTTGAAGGCGCGAAAGTGAAAATACGGTAAGTTAATGTACATAGAGTCATCGTGTAATAGCTTTTATTGTATCTCTCAGTCAGTACGCCCGCTGTGATTGGTCAATTTAGTGGGCCGTAATCTTCTGTACGGTCCGCTAAAATTTTGTTGCCAAAATGTTTCGTGATTTATCGCTAAGTGCTCTTAACATTTTTAGCAATTAAAAGTTTAAAACTTTCTTTTACTTCTGAAATTGTGTATTAAAACCTGCTAACGACTTAAGAGTCACTTAACAACGATTTCAAATTCAGTCGTTTTGCTTTCGAAGTGCGTCAGCAATTTGAAGCCGTTCCGCGTAAATAGAAATCGTTCCCGAACCCGTCAGACACACAGTAGAGATATAATAAATATCTTACTAACCTCGTCTTCTCGGTCTGTACTGTACGGTTACGGATCCTCGTTTTTCCCCTTCGATTCACGGCCCGCGCGCTTCGCGCTTGGGCCATAAATCGATGGGGAAAAAACTCGGTCCGTAACTTACAGTAGGGCCCTCGAACTCGGTTAGTTAGAGGCATGTAATGGGGACTGAGAGTTTTCATTTTTACCTCTTTATCCCTTCCCCATTATTGAAATATTCCAAGCGAACAAAACTGTGCGGCCTGTCATTTTTCACACTGGAAAAGTCTGTACCATTCGCCCATGGAAATTTTCGAAAATTCACACCGGCATTTTTGGTCGAATTCAAAGCGCCCTAGGGGTCCATATCGTGAAAAACTGATCGGCGTAGTTAGCCGCACTTTTGAGGACCGCTGAGATGTTTGGGAAAGAAATAATAGGAAACCATGAATCGGTAAAGCGTCGTAAAGGAGCAATTTGATTAGCTGGAACTAGCTTACTCCTGTAATAAAGTTTGCTATTCGTTTTATCAAACTGAGATTTTTGAAGAATGGAGAAGAGAAGGTATCCAGAACGTTACAGACCTATTTAAAGACCCGAATACCTTTCTATCTTCTCATGAACTAAAGGAACGCTACAATGTTAAAGCAAACTTTCTAGTTCTTCATGGTCTAAAATCTTTGTTAAAATCCTTGAGAGAAAGCCGGTCACTTAGTACCACATCCTCTCAAAGCTTTCTTCAAAGTTTCTTAAAAGCCAAAAAGCCTACCAAGGTTGTTTATGAAAGGCTGGTTACTATAAAGCAAAAATCCCCTTTTCGAAGTCAGGAAAAATGGTTGGCTGGTTGTGAATTTGAAAGTCACGAAACAATTGACTGTAAGTCGGTTTACCCGGCTACTCCCGTTTAAATGTACGAAAATTACTAAACTAATCATTTTTCAATTTAAACTTTTACATAAGTACATAGAAGACTTGCTACGAATTCCTTTCTCAAGAAAGTGGGAATAAAACAGAGTGACTTGTGCACCTTCTGTAGAACTGAGGCGGAAAGTCTGATTCATTATTATGGTCCAGTAGTGTAACCTCGCATTTTTGGCAAGAATTTAAACAGTGGATAACAACAAACCATGAAAACGTAAACAGTAATTTCAGTCCAGCAATAGTATTACGCTTTGAGCCATTTTTCTTTCGCAAGAAAACTCGTCATTTCTGCTTACTTTCTAGATATTACATTTGGATCTGCAGAACTCAAGAGAAGTCTCTTAGATTTGAGAATTTCTTAACTTTTCAACACTCGTTCGATACCTGTTAATTTGTCTCGTGTGCCTCTTGTCAATTTAATAACACCAATACGCTATTCACAAGGCCGTGTGGCTGCTCTATTGCTATAAGTAAATATTTTATAATTAAGTAGGAGGGTATTCCAATTTACGTTTTTGAAATGCAATTGTAGCGACTGTAACATCACGTCATGCTATTGATGTATCGTATTGCACTATAATGTAATGTCATGTCATGCAATACAATGTTAGTGCATTGTTTTGTAGCGTAATGTAATGAAATGTAAGTAGAGTAAGTATTGTTTCGTATAAAATGGAGTTAGTACTGTGTCTTATTATTAGTAGAATAAGAACCGTGTCGTATTGTAAATAGAGTAAATATTGTACCATAAAGTAAGTAGAGTATTGAATCCTATTGTAAGTAAAGATAGTATTGCACCGTTCTGTTAGTAAAATATTGTATTGTATTGTAAGTAGACTAAGTATTCTGTCGTATTGTAAGTAGAGTAAGTATTGTTCTGAAAGTAATGTGACTATTGTTTTCTATAACAATAATAATAATAATAATAATAATAATAATAATAATTTTTTGAAGAATTAGTTATCTTTTGCTATAGATAGTGTTGACGTTAAGCGGTATTATTATTGCTATGAAACAGTCCTCGACACTTAACTAAAGTTATGTAAAGTTCTGTACGAAAAGCCCCTCTTCAGTAAAGGTCATAAACTTTTTTAGGTTCTGTTTCTTATTATTCTGGCCGTTTTGTTTTGTTTACTTTTTTACATCCTGAACCAGACTATAGAATCTGGGCTAACCACACTTTACAAGTCTTACGGCAGCCCTTCTGAAATCAACTCTGTAAAAAGTATACACAAACGGGTTTACTGCCGATTGAACAAACAAGAAAAACAAGCTCAGCTTGTTTAACAGTGGGCCTTCTCCTTTACCCAAGAGCCTGGCGACATTATAGTAAGCCCTTGGTAACCAACATAACACGAAAATCAGGACAACTAAAACACAAGCAATGGTGCCCTTTCTGGCGGCCTGGCGTATTCGCTGATCATCGTTTTCAATGGTACAATTTAATTGAGTTTCAGTCACGCTCTCTTCGTTAGCAGGACGAGGCCGACTGCGATGCTTCCTAATCTCCAAGATAATTCTCAAGTTAACAACTGTTAAAATAGAAACTGGCAGAACCACCAAAAGGAAAATAAGGCAAGAGTTGAAAACGCGATCCGTGATCAAGGCTTCAGCTCTCGGCAGTTTGATCCACCATGCTAAACGGCTCAGAGTTAAAATCACGGGAATTGTCCACACAGTTGTGATAATTATTAAGACTCTTTTGAAGCTAATTTTCGCTTTGTACTGCAGAGGTTGCATCACCGCGATGTACCTGTCATATGAAATGGCGAGCAGATTGAGTTTTGTCGCCGGAAACACAAGATATTTTGTTGAACTAATTAACCAACAGTGTTCACTTACGGAATGGCTGCAGGAACTTGTGCAAAAGATCACGTGACCTGGCATTATTAACAAAGCCATGAAAATGTCGGCAAGCCCCAGGCTAACAAGGAACGTGTTCATAAAACAACGCCTGAAATGTTTGTTTTTCAGGAAGATAAAACAGGCTAACCCATTGCCCAGTAATATGAAAACGGATATCATTCCATTTAGCAGCAGAAATACAAGGTCCAGCGAGTCGTCGCATTCTGAAATACTTGATCCTGATTCTTTGAAAGGAGTTGGTGTCCTTGAATCCGAAGTCAAATTTGATTCTTCCATTAAAAAGATTGATTGGAATCGCAGTCACGGAATCGAAGCGTTTCTTTTCGTTTTCACGAAGGTTATTAAAATTGACTGTCCAAAACAAGCAGCACAAATGTTTGTCAACTTGAAGCTATTAGTTGAAAGGGCAACTGAAAGATGTAAAAATTTTCAAACTGAAATTACCATTCTTCGATTTTAATTTTCAAAGTTTACCAATGAAAAAGCAGCGATTTGATTAGTAAAAGCTGGTTCCTGCGCTTGTCTAATTGTTGAACTTTTAATTTCATTTATTGGGTACAGTCTAATATCCACCGGATCTTATTTACGTGCTAAAAATGGGAAATTGAAATTCGAAGCGGGACGTAGTTTTATCGCTAACAGATCCTAAAATCTGTGAACGATTAGTTCTGAAAGACTTTCTACAGCAGTTAATTGGAACGGCAAGCAAGATGGCCGAGTGAAGCAGCTCATTTTAAAACATTCTTCCGAGCGATGAAATTAGAAGGAATCAAACATTTATCCATAAATCAATCGATTATCACTCCTCCCTCGTGGAAATCTTTCTTGCACCTCACCTATTACAGGCAATTCGCTTTAAAAACGCCACGCTCACAGTATGCCCCCCTAGGGGCATGACCTATCTCTGCCGAAAATTCAATCTTCCATTTTCCGGTCAACCCCTTTGTAACAAGTAAATATTACTGCATATTGCGATTATCCCAACGAATTGTTATTACTCTAAGGGCGTGACGACCAATACTTCAGTTGTTCGAAGCCAAATTATAATAACTGCGCTGTTTCTGTAATATCAAATTTCTTTCCCGGATATACGAGGATCCCAATTCGAACCCTACAACCCGCGAAACGGTAAACTACAGCAAAACATCATCAACAACAACAATCAACAATAACAACATAACACAGTGATAATGGTTCAATTTCGTTTTACCGGAAACCTGCACCATTAAAGAAATTCTATTACAAAAAGAAGATTTCTAATTATAGAAAGTATGGGTAATGATTGCTGACTGGCACAACTGGCTTTAGGCTCGATTTCCGCCGCTTTCTCCAGTCCGTTCTACCTTCCTCTCCAAGAGGAGACCTCAGGCGAGGAGCGCGGGCTCCTTTCCCGAACAGCGGCTGGCAATCACGCCTAAACGGGATTCCGAAGGATTCAAAAGCCGACTTGAGATGCCTTGGAAAGTTTTCGACAGTTGGTTGCAACAGGAAATTCGTTTGCTTTTACGGAGTTTTAGATATTATTTATTTTTAGAAAGAGTTCGTAAAACGAGTTAGTAAAACATCTAAAACTTTTATTGCATTTTCCACCATTCACTTGGCAACATAATCTTTTTTGCAGCCTTTCTTGGTTGGTCACGCAATGCTCCTCACCATAGCAGGTGTGAGTGGAAAAGAGTGTTCCGTGACAACTCAGATATTCCCACTTTACTTGGCGGCCGCCATTTTTGAAAATTGAAAAGAAAACAATGTGTTTAAAATAATATTTCACTAACAGTTTCCTCCTTTTGTTTTCCTATCAATGATCCTGAATTCATAATTATTAATTAAAACAGAAAGAAGCACTATCAATGGTGGTACTGAAGTAGTAGTTGAATATTTGCACTGTAATTTTGTTATAAGTGATAAATAAATTATCAAGCTTTGGTTTGGATAACTGGGGTCGGTTTTAAAAATTTTTTCATTGACTTTATTTTTAAAACAAAATTCCACCCAAAATAAACTTGCATTCACTTCAAGTCCCAAGCTAAAAATACAGAGGGTAGTCAGAATTTCAGCCGTCTCTTCTCCCTTACCCACCCGTGGGTAAGGGAGAAGAGACGAGACGAGAACAGATGCTGAAATTCAGACTATACAGAGGGATGCCTCGGTATGGCTTGTACTAATTAATGATCCATCATGTTGTAGTATTAA